TACAAGGTTTTGATAGTGCAATAAAATTTCGATTGAGATAGCGATTATGACAATCGGAATTTGGGCAAATCAATAGATAACAGTCGTGACGTACTTGATAACGAGAACAAACAATTCCGAAAATTCTTCTTTTCTTGATAAAATTATGACTAACATAAAAGACAATAGTTACTGCAATTTTATTGCGCCTATATATTTGTGAGTGAACGCTTCAATACGGTGGCAGAAGAGCATTCCATTGCATTGCAAATACGTGCGCTATCGGGATACGCTTTTAATGCCTTGCGCTTACCGACGATAGCGTCGCTTCACAATGCACCGAGTGCAGTCCTTATTAGCAGCATTAGCGTACTCGCCGGCGATAAGACGCATGCCAATACAGATAACAAACTTAAGGCCAATCGCTTGAAACCACGATCGTTGCTCGACAATCGGCTCTTCAGGCGTATTGGCGAGCCCGACGCAATGCGCGATTCGCCCACGCGCTTGAATTCAAGTACACGTCCCCCGCAAAGCGCAGGTATTACGTCGAGCTACGGTGTGTCCGAGACACGTCGCCGTGTGTGCGTGTGTTGAGAAGCTCAGCCATCAGTCTCACCATGTAAATGCCAGGCTCCGGGTCGTGGCACTCGCCAACGCATCGACATAAGTCCGCGACACGCGGCCACTCGCGAAAGACGATTCGTTATCTCTGACGTGCGTCTCTCGATGCTCCGAAGAGTATCGAGGATCGCGCGTGAAAGCTTAGATAACGCTTCTCCGAACTAAAGTGCGAAACACGATATATTTGTGCAAACAAATGTATCACGTGTGCCCTTCTCCCCCTCCCCCAAAAACGACCTAATAAGAAACGATTGTCGAATCAATACGATTAGATTGATTTTTGTAGGAGAAATTCCATACAAAGGAATTTTCCAGTTGTGATTTATTTTAGACGGAATTATTAATAACTGTGGTAATTAATAACAGCATTGAAAAAATTTCGCCAAGTAAATTCAAAATAACTTCGGCGAATTCATTTTTTTTTATGTTTAATAAAACGTGATAATTTACGACCGCAATAAAGATAAATTCGACGAAAGAACCAAGTTTGTTCTCCGTTAAACTTTAATTAAACGCCAATACCAAGATAAGCCAATACCAAGATCTTTAATTACGCGTTAAACTAACGGACCAGAAGCTTCACGATCGAGCGGCACGACACGTGAAAGGGTTAAAATATGTAAGAGGTTAATGGATGCGCGATCGCAAACATCTCGCAATGTGTCTCGCGCGCGCATCCAGCGTGCATAAATTCAAGTGCACATTCTGAGCCGGTTGCCGGAGCGCGCGTTTGTGTCGAGCGCGCAAGGCGAACGCTCGCGCGCGTCCGTCAAGTCGCGCCAGGTAAATCCTCGGCTCGGGTCGAGGCACTCGCCAACGCAAATACCCGAAGGAGCTTTGCGCAACAACAAACGAGATCGACTCGGCATCTAAATACCACGATGACGCGCCCGTGTGGGTGCATCTTTAAAGGAGAGCGATCCTCACGAGAGCGCGCCTTCGCAGCGCAAATGCCGCGCGATTGTCGCGCGATTTATTCGCACGTTGAAGACGCGCGCGCTCTGAATAGCGCGAATACACAATCCATTCCCCGAGGCATCACCTCCCCTCCGGAAATAATGCATCTCGATTTGCATCCATTCAACGGCCAAGGCAGATTCGCGACAGACAGCGCAGAGGGACAGTTCCGCGTCTCCTCGAGCGGTGCAGAATGCAGCGGCGGTTGAAAATTGTGCGCGGTCAGCCTGCACTCTCGTGAAACACGCTCGACCGCGGTAGCGTCGTCGGATTTGCGTATATATACCGGCAACGATATTTCATCGTCGGACTAGTCGTTCTATCGCGCAGTCGTTTATTCCGCAAAAATCGATATTTTCTTTTTATCCGAAACCGGCGAGCGTTTCCGGGTTACTCGCAGCGGATTATTATAAATCACAAACTGGTAAAACAGGTTCCAAGCGGACTCGCGTCCGTAATACGCTAATAATTACCACCTGTTACATAGATCGCAGAAAAATTATATATCAATGTATCGAGGACACGCGATGTTACGTGGATTTTACTTTATCAGTACATTTCGATTTATTAAGCTATTTTATCAATAACACTCAATAAAAAAATATTAAATCCAATTAAATGATAAAGAGAACTGAATAATGACAAATGTCAATTCAATAATAAAACAATATAATAAAATAATTCAATGATCCGCATATAAAAGAAAATTCTAAGATATGTTTATTTATTGCGTATCATAGTTGTTTTTCGCAGATAAAAGAAATGATAATTGTAAGATATGTTTACATATTGTGCAGCATAGTATTATTTTGTACAGTGTGTTTCATGATTATGCTTCTTAGCTACTTGTTCGCGTCAATTACAAGCAGAATTCATAGCCTTTACGAATAAAAGAAACATTTTCATCGTAGACAACTCATTACCGAAATTATCAGCTTCTCATAGACTCGAAAATCTCAACAACAAAAAATTCACTCACGTTTAATCTAGGCACCGAGGCCGATCTGCCATTGATTCTCCTGCGTCTCAGAAGCCTCGCTCGCTCGCGGTCTCTCCTGGTGCACTTGCCGTCCTGCCGGGGCACCAGGCTGATTTGTGGCGTGTCCTCGAGAAATCGCACCCCAAGCAGAACGCAACTTTTGTCCTCCTGAACGCCCGCCACGGTGCTGCCGCAGCTCCGCATTCCATCGGCACTCACGTCGCTCGTTATCGCGCACTGCGACAGATCCTCGGTGGACCTTGAGGATGCTCTCGAACGAGGTCGATGTCTCTTTCGTTCTATCACGAAGGACGAAGCTCTCGCGCGTCGTGCGAGGTGGACCTGCGGCGCGACGACCCGCCTAGCGATCAACTGCTCCGTTTTCGTCGCGAATTCCTGCAGTCTGCCGGACCGTGATTCGATCTTCGAACGATATCTGGTCGCTTGAACGCAACCGTCGGTGACGTCGCAGTTCGATGGAGGGGACACGCTTCGCTCTAAGGACGGATTCCCGAGGCGAGAGTGCTCTTTGGTATCAGTCGTCGTATCGTCACTTTGGTTCGTCGAGGAATCGTCCGCGGGGACGATCGTCTGCTCGTCGGTTCCGGGCGCGGAGACACTCCTCCGCAGAACGCGTCTTCGTGTTGCCTCGAGCCTGGAGGACGCCTGGATAGAGCGCGTCAACGTGTCGCAATACTGCGGATTCACCACCGTCGTGTGTCCATCCTCCTCCACGGTGTTTCCGCGATCGACAATCTCGCCCGAGGCCTCGCGGGGCGCGTCAGTCTCTCGACTCAAGATGAAACTCGCGCTTCTTCGAGATCCCTTGAACGCGTGCACATCGTGAACGATTCGCGACGGGCCCTTCCAGGACTGATTCTTGCGAAACTCTCGCGGCTTCTCCGGCGATTCGGAATCATCGACCTTGCTTCGGACGCCCGATGGCACGATATTCTCGTCGACCTCCAGCGTCGTCGCGCCGTCGTCGCTCTCGCGACGCTCCACGTCGTCGTCGTCGTTCCTTCGCTTTTCGGACCGCGGCGACGTCTCGCGCGCTTCGTCGACGTCGACGCACTGACGTACGGAGATCAGACGGCAGCCGCCGTCGTCCCCACTATTCTCCTCGCTGATATACATCCGAAATAACTAGGCGTCGCACGTCATCGTCGCGCTACGGGCGCGACGTTTTACCACGAAACGAAACGCGTCGACTTCCTTCCTTCGGCCAGAAAAATCGCCGGCTCATCGGGATCTCTCATGTTTTATCTCTGCTTTCCTCGGAAACGGACAGGTGGACAGGCGATATCGCAGTTTGCCAAAATATATCCGCGCGCTGTTTCGCGGAAAATCCGTCCGTGCAGAGGTACACGTAGATTCGAAGTGCGAGATCGTGTCAAATCATCCGCGATGTCCGTGACAATTATTATTTATGACGAGCTTTCAGGAAATTCCTATGCAGGCGCTTTTCCTTGATCCCTCTTTCAAGCTTCGAACGTCAGGGCTCGACGGCGTGTGCCAGTTGGCTATTAATTAACGTCTCAACATGACGTTCCGTGTCGGTCGAATGTTTGAGCGATCTTCCGTATAATTAGTTGGGAGGAAAGCAATTTTCCTTTCAATGTCATTTCTATTACTGTGTAACTCAGTTGTCTTTTTGAATGAATTATGTACAGACTAATTCACGGGCCTGAGACAAGGATCGTAAAAGTAATTAACAAGTATTACTTTTGGCGTATAATATATGTTTTCAACGTATAATATATGTTATCTCACATAAATTTCACCGTTAATATTTCGATCAAGAAATGAGCTAAGACTCGTAACTAAGGGAATGACGTAATTGAGAAGGATCGAATATATCCTTATTATCCACGATCGGTTATTGCGAAACGAATAATTTGCGTCTCCGGATTTTTTTAAATATATCCATTAAATATCCGGAACCTTCCCCGTTACACTTGCTGACGCGTCCAAAATAAAATGTATATTCAAATGCAAATTCCCGTTGGCATTTGTGCCACGTGGAGCTGTACATCCAGAAAGAAACACAGGTGCTTTTTCAAACGTAAATCATAAAATGATGGCCTTCACTCTTTACAATTAGCAGACGAGCATTCAGCGGAAATGAAATTTCTCGCGTTAGAACCTCGAGGATTTCTTTGAAATCGGAAGTCAAAAAATTTCACACTTGAGAATCGTGTCCTTCAACAAAAACTCGCTTTTGCAAATTTCTATGTATTTCTTCATGTATTTCGTACATTGTCCATTCCAGGATCGCTTTGCGCGAAGTTCAAGAGAAATATATTTCGATCAACATAATTATATAAGACAAGGGATCTAAATGTAATGAGCTCCGTTGTAAGGCAAATTGCTCTTGCAAAAACCAATGTCATACGATCGATCTTCGAGCATGAGCGTCGTTTGAAAGAGATCGAGGGAGACAGCGCGTGCTGCGTCGCGCGTAATTACATTACCGTAATTAGTGCTCGTTAGATCTCTCACAACGCCGTCTGGCACGCTGCATCGGAGCGCCGTAATGGAAAATCATTACGCTACACACGGCACGTCGCCAAATATAAAGTTACTAGTGAGCGCAGATCGATTTCGCTTATTGAGGAGTAAGATCGATGAAAATCAATCGAGAGGAAAAATATAATCTTCACTACAATCTTCAAAATAAAACCTCACAGACGACAGTTTAAATTAACACCATCAATTTGATTGTAGCTGCACTCGTGTAAGAGCCTCGTGAATAAAGCATGCCACATCTTGTCAATTATAAATCATTTCTCCTTTTTTTTTATTTTTTACGCTATCGAGTTCAAGGTAAATCAAGGCAACGTCCTCGGAGGAGAAAGTTTATCCATGCACCCCAAGTTCTCGCGCACCGAGGGGATTCTCCGTTCTTTCTTTTTTTTTCTCTCGATTTTCACCTCGATCGATCACTTGACGATGAACGATGGTTCGTCCGTCGACTTAACGTAGGTCGGACACGCGCGAGCGGAAAAAGAGACGCACAGGCGTCGAGCGCCGTTGGCCTACTGCGCCGGCACCTAATCCCATACAGCCGGCGCGGTGTGCGCGATACGGCACGCCGCGTGCAGGCGCACACACACATATACACGCGCGTACGCGCGCACTATCGCGCGGGCACGTGTGTGTACACGCGGTTACGACGAGGGATATACACACGCGCAAGCTTCCATTCCATTCCATTCCGCCATTCCATTCGAGCCGCGCGCTTCGCGTCTAAACTCTCACCGGCGCGGCGCGGCGCGGTGCTCGGATCTCTCGCCACCGCGCTGGTTTCATGCCTCCTTTGGTGTGCGGTGCGTGTACACGCGTGCTCATGTACGCGCGTACGCGCGTGTGTCGACAGCCCGCCGCGCCGCCGACACGTCCTCCAATCGGCAGGGACCGATTGCCAGCACTCGCGGCCTGGAATGCCTTTTCCTTTCGGAAAGCACCTCGAATCGCGGACCGGTTACGACCGCGATACCGCACACGCACCCACGGCCGAGAATTATTGGGAATTATCGAAAATTGATACTAGACTGGGAGAGGTCCGGAAAAGACCCGGGAGGGGTATACGGGAAGGATAACGCGCGGGGGAGTCCAAGGTATTATTTGTCGAGACGGTATTCTGAGAAAAGTACATAAGTGTTTAGGAGCCGCGCCAACGGCACTACTTTGGATCACGATCAGCTCAAAAATGTTTACTCGCAATCGATAGTTTTCCACGAATGAAAAATAAAACTGTACTGTCTGACTGATATTCACTATAACACATGCATTCCCAAGAATTTATATTTAGATCATTTTTTTAAACAATTTTATTGAATTTGTAATGAATCAATCAGATTATAGAAATTATTAATATTTTAACGCAATATCTAATACCTATCAATATTTTCAATTTTTTGTTTCTCTTTCTTATATGAAAAATGAATTAAAGATGTTAGCCACATCTAGTTTCTAATTTTCTACATTTCACTTTAATCACCATATGTTTAAAAAAATTATAAAAAATGTACATTGTATTTATAATGTAAATGTTGTTTGTAAATGGTGTTTCCATAATTTTCCTATAATTGTAGTATGTTTGTTTCGAGTATGTATATGTGTGTGTGCGGTTGAATATCGAAGAAAGCAGCCCGCATGGTTCATTAATGGACGCAGTTTGCCTTTGCGAAAACATTATCGGACCTGCGCATGTCGTTTTCCGTTCGCGAGTTTGCGTCCGGTGTAAAGTTTCACTTTGAGATGCGCATTGGTGTAGACCGTCATCATTGGACCGTCACCTATCTTCTGGATTTTTCTTCTTGGTTAACCGCACGTCAAAGGGTAGAAGATAGCGCGTTAATACTTCCTCGCGCAATTTATCGAGCTCGAAAGATATTTCTCTTGATCTCTCTATACTTTATACGAATTTTTATTCGCGTAGTATCAAGTTCCTTGAACTCATCTAATAATAACGAAATCCTAAATAAAAATAAAAACGATGGCGCAATAGTTCCCAAAATATTTATATCTGTATTTTTTTTTAAGAAATATCAACTCAATATATGCAAAAGATGTACTTTGTGCATAAATTGAGCATATGACTAGCATCCTTAATTTCTATCGATTATACGTACCTCTACAGAAGACAAAGAAATTATATATTTTTTAATAATAAAAAATAACTATAATAATTGTAGTAATAATTTGCAAAATTGTATTTATTTTGATTTTTAATAGAAGAGTACCGTGATCGAATTAAGTTTCATATGCATGCAATCATCCCTTTGTCATATGTGAAAGAACTGTCTCTTTTGGAAAGTATTTTCACAATTTTTAAGCTTTTAACTAATTTTGAAGTAGGCGATAAAAAGATTACTTCGTTTTAATTCACGAAAGGCGTTTAGAAAGCGTTGATCCGCGAACCGCTTTTACTGTGGCATGTCAACTAGATGTCAACTTGTATACGAAAAAAAATGCGCAAGCTTCTCACTACACATTTCCAATCGATATGCCTGACAAGAGGCCCCCTCCAGATATGCAGTTTTTTACATATGCATTTCGAGCGGAGGGTGCAGCGAATTCTCGCTCGAGTCGCGTGCGAATCTGTTTACACACGTGCAGACGGGATTTCATTAATTGCTCGGCGCAGACCGCCCATTTATTTTGACACGTGATCCCAAGATCCCATCCCCTGATGATCGCATACGTCACCATTAATTATAACGTACGCAAACACATCGATCAGTACGCGTGGATAACGAGCTCAGAGAAATAATCACCAGCTCGTACTGCTGAATTATCGTAATTCCACGTTAATAATAATTATTCTTAATGAGCGTGCTTAATATCCGTTTCATTACAATGTAAAATATTAGGCTAATCGTGAAGTTTGACGAGAGTAACAAAGTAGTTCAGGATGGACTTTATGTTTTAATAAAATCATTAAAAAGTTTATTAATCTATTGAAGTTAACTTCCTCAATTATGATTAAAATGCTCATTGTCTTGCTAGCATCAATAAATTTATATCGAGAAAAAATAGTAACAAGTATAAATTATCAAAATAAAAAGTGCAGATTTTTACAGTTTTTACAGATTAGATATTAAAAATTTAATTTTTTAGCAATACACATGTATAAAATTTTGAAAAAATATCTTAAAGAGCAACAATCATTCGTCTATGTATGCTATAATAATGAGGAAATTAAACTGCAGTTAATGAGAAAAGATCTCATAAACATAATTGTACAAAAAGTATGACGCGCAGGAGGTAATTAGTATATTCATTTGTCGGCTGACAAACGATTATGCCCAGAGAAATTTATACTTTCGTATAATCGTGCGGCAACTCATCCGCGAGTTGTAATAAGTCTCATCTAACACACGATCTAATGATTAATTAATTTTAGACAGTCGTTAACAGTGCACCGCGCCATAAATTCTGGCTCAATCGTCAGATACCACAGAAACAGGATACGTGCAACGCATGTGTGAACTCGTTTAGTTACAATAATCAACTACTTAGCATGTCGCGAATGGATGCACGACTGTTAATCTCTGCGGAGCGCATTTTTCTTCGCGATATCTGATCGCGGTATATGTAACTCTCGCCGTCTACGGCTCATTAATTTTCTCTCACGCTATCCGAAAAAGAAACCAGTACAGGAGATCCGAACTCCTGTCTCGCCCTTGAATCGATCATGTTGATGAGTGCGACATGATGCAACGGGAACAGAAATCTGCTCGGTATTTCAACGTCGGAGACCTGTGAATTACTGTGTGACACCCGATGCGGCAGTAAAAAAAAGGGACATATTCACATTAATCTACCATTATCATCAAATCCATCTCACGTACTCCGAGACATGTAACTGTACATTGTACATACGCGACGTATTGATTTCAGCGCATTATAACGGATTCCGTGTATGATCGATTGGATATGTCCATATATCTCGTTTACCTTATGCAATTCAGCGTAGAATAAAAATATCAAAAAATTCGAAAGAGAAATGTCAATTCAGATGTTTTATACCAAATTTCAAATTTGATATAAAAATCTAATATAAAGCTCTCCCCAAAGCTCTGAAAAAAAATATATACAAAGAGCGCATATGAACGATTTATAGGGAACGATATAATAGTTATTAACACCCAGGTGCGCTCGTTGTATTTCACTTTCGCAAAGGAGGGATCCGGTGCGAACAACGCCACTGTGCGGCGTGTTAATGGTCCTCTTTTTGTGAAAATAACACTACCTCGTGTTCCTTAATCGGGCTAACGAGTCGCTTAAATATCAGTCTCCCCCGGTGGCGCGCAACTCAGATTATACGAGCCACTTTCATCGCAAATATGCCATTGTGTGCATACGCGAGCATTACATTGTTTGTTACGCGGATGTCGCATTATTCTTCCGAGCTAATGAACTCGTGTCATCGAGGCTGCAACCTCAACGTCCTTGAGCAAATCCATAAACGCCCGGCGCATTCTCATTACGCGACCGCCTCCTATTATAGCCCCGAGTGTCCAACTAAGAATACAGATGTAGCCTACGTCCTCCGTGCTCTCAGATCCGCTTACGACGATCATATCGGTAATGACTGCTTTCTATGCACGGATTATAGTGACTGACAGTTGATCTTGATTGTCCCAACAATAGAAAGGATAACACAATTCAGTGTCTAGATTCAAATGTGAAATGTGACATGTTCGAACCAATCCGTATGTACATATGTCTGAAACCGATTTTTTTTTATTTAACCTGCATTTAAGGGTTAAACGTGGCCTTGTAATAATATTTATTATTCGTGTTGCGCAATAACGCGCATGAAGGCAAAGATGAATAAATCATGAGGATTACAAAACAACAGCACATAATTATATATCTATATATTTTGCTAATGGCGAACATATTATAAAAGCCTTATATACTGCTATTAATTAATTTGTCACATTGCAACATCCAAGAAATAATATTTAGAAAAATGTAAGCAAGAATTAAGAGCGTCAGTGATATGTAAAAAGAGAACATAACACTATTAAATCCATAGTGTTAAACTGAACTTTATTTATATCGCCACTGCTCCTACTTAATAAATAGTTATTTTTTACTAAAACAATGGAGTTAAATAATTTAAAACAGTTCAAATTTAACCCAAATTTGGGTTAAGTTCTATTGTTTTATTTAAAAGTAACTATATTGTTTTAGTTAAAAATAACTATTTATTAAGTAGAAACAGTGGCGACTTAAATAAGGCTCAATTTGACACAATAGATTTAACAGTGTATGCAAGCTGATAGACGGACGTAGCGCGAGAATTATGTCGGTCGAGGGGATCGGCGATTTGCCGGTTCGAGAATCCGGCTTATGACAATTCATGAATAATAACGTCGCGTAAGGAGGAACCGAAGGTACAGTTACATTTTCCACTCATTTCTACGCAGTACAGGTAGTACACGTTCGAGCGAGCGTATATGTACGTATGTCGGTACGAACGGCGGGTCACCCACTTTGTTTTTCATGAAGAGCACGTACGTGAC